AGTTTTGCACAGATTTTCATTTAATATATTATTTAATTTTTTTGCAAATCTGCACAGAACAGCACTAAAAAATTTTTCTGATGGATAAAAGCATTACTGAAAACTCTGAAATAGAAGAAATCATTAAACGGTTTGATATTGAAAATATAGTATGCTTAAGGGATAAAATATTTCAAAATAGTGAATCTGATACTGATAGTAAAGGATCGTATAATGTTGATCCTGATGAATTTGATCAATTTAATGATGATGAATCAGTGGTTAGTAATAAAATAGGGCAAGATGTATTTGATTTTGACTTTGCAGACTTAGCAGCTGATTTAATGAAAGAATGGAGCTATGAAGATGATAATTATAGTTTAAGTAGAACAAATGAACATATTGATAATAATTTGAATATCATAGATGGGATATTAATGAAAATTTAAGTGTTGTAGAAAATTCTAATGAGAATTCAGAATCTTTACCTATAGCACTTAGAAAAACTTGTCATATAAATTTAAAAAATTAGATTGTAACAATTTGAATAATAAATAAAGTTAGAATAATATGGGCCAATTTAGGCCCGTTACTGGGTGGGTGGGTGAATTCTTGACCCATGCTTGTAGGCCACCCAACCAAATTTAGTTTTGCTTCTAAAATTGAATACTGGCAATGTAAAATAATATAACTTGCTTTTATTATTATAATAATTATTTTGTTAATAATTTCACCTTACTGTGTATAATAGTTTTACTAATTTTATCAGTTTACAAAATAATAATTTTACATAGAACTTTATATTGAAATAACTTTTCTTATGAAAAAATAATTGAAAATTTAATACATCCAGAGATCATCATAGAGAAGCTTGATAAAAGAATCGATTAAATTGATTTGTTAAAGCTTTCTCAATCGCCAAGGTTTCATCAATCATCAGGGTTTTGTCAATCGTCAGGGGTTTCATCAAACATCAGGGGTTTCGTCAAATGTCGGGGTTTCATCAATCGCCAAGGGTTTCATTAGACTAAACCATGACGAAACCCTTTCATCATCGTAAAAATAATTTCGTCAGGCATCATTACTATTAAGTGAATTTTTAAAATTAAAAATTAATAAAAAAATAAAATAAATGGATAAAAAAAAAATGGGATTGAAATTCTTATTCATCGAATATAATTTTATAAAAAATGACAGAGCTGCAAGAAAATCCATCTTATCTCATAATGCATTTGAAAGCAAATCTGTTAATACAAGAATATTATGATTTCCATATTAAAGTTTTTCAAGATTCATCAAAACTGCTAAAGATCATTCATTATTGGAATAAATTGAACTAAAATTTAGAATTTAGTCGCAATTTATGCAATTTATACTAATTTTGGAATCCATTCACAAAATATTTATGCATAATGATAATGGTTCTTTGTTTTTTTCATTACTGTGCTTTTCAATTTACTGTAATACCCAGTGTTGTCAGTAGACATGGACATGTCCATGGACTGTCCATGGATATGGACATATAAAAATATGGATGTATATATCCATAAACATATAAAAATATGTCCATGGACTGTCCATGTCCAATAATTTGCTTGGACATATGTCCATGTACAACACTGGTAATACACATCGCACAGAAATCTACAAACTTTCTTCAAATTCACATTTTTTACAAATCGTCATCAAACATAGTATTTCAAAGATTCTCTTTGAAACTAATTTCTAGTATAATATTTATTATTATATTAGATCTTTTGTTTTGTTAACAAGCAATAAAAATTTCTAGCTTTTTTTTTTTTTAACAATATTCTCAAATTTAAACGAATCCATTTTCAAATTCTATAAATCAATTTGATTTAAAAAAAAAAAAAAAACTTTAACCATTTAAATTAGCCAAGTCTATATTAAGATAACTTATTAAAAGCTTAAAAATCATAAAAATGTTTAGGATAAAAATTAATTATTCCCATTCCTAGATTTTCGTGAATTGTGTTAGTGACTCTTATTAATTGAACTTATTTATTACAAGTATAAATTTTTTCACTATACATTATACTATGTGTATAATTTTTTTATCGAAATTATACGAATGTATAATAAATTTTAAAATTTTATACTTAATGTACAAGTTTTCAATAAATAATATACATTCCGTATACTGTATACTAAACTCCTTTGACCGAAAATACTATACATGTTATCGTGATATCTAAGAAAATTCGGTATACGAGTATACACAGTTATACGGGTATACACCAAAATAATTTTTTGCCCTAATTTGAAAACTGTGATAAACGAATTACGGACGTTCTTGCTATTAATATTATTAAAATGGTTAAAAGCCCCTTTTTTATACAGTATCATGATGATTATTTATATATTAAGATCACTTTAAAAAAAAAAAAAAAATTGAACATCCGCCATATATATAAAGTACTCATCCTTTCTATCGGTCTTCAAATAAAATTTAGTTATATTTAAAATGCCTCGTTTAAAATCATCCCGTTACTCTGCAAATCATTGATATTATGTAAGGCATAAAGAACGCATTCTTCAGCGTCGTCATGATCGTACTCAGTCTTTAACCTCTAGCACACCTATACTTCCTACAATTAACAATCTCTATCCATCACTCCCTTCTATTAATGAAATTTATCCTTCACTTCCTTCTATTAATAATCTTCCCTTATCACTTCCTTCTATCGATAACATCCTGTCAAGATCATCCTTTCCATATTTTAATTATTCCGGATAATAATAAATTGATGCTGGCATCAAAAACTTCGACAAAAATTGAATTAATACCTAGACTGAATGATTTTATGCGATTTAATTCCGTTAATGAAGACAATTCGATATTCACACAGTGAATTATTTATATTCGATTACCAGATTTTAAAATTCTTTCGTAATAATATGTCTGGTAATTTTTTCCGTATTTATATTCGAAATTGGCAAAATCAAAATATTTAATATTCATGCAATTATAAAAACATATGTTAAAGTTTTATATAAAATCTGTACACTTTTCGAACAATATTAATTTATATTAAAATTGAACAACTTCATAAATGCTTAACAGCAGACCAATTTTCAGTAACAAGTTAGTGTCAGTAACATTTTTTTTTTATTAATAATTTAAATGTTGCTTTTATTTGATTTCGGTCCTACCAAAACAAACACATAATATAGTATGCTATTTAAATATGCAATTACGTTAAACATATTATTAAATATTTACGTACTTACGTATATACAGTATGTATGTACCTGATCAGATGTAACATGATACGATCATAAAAATCATTACACAAATCAGCCCCGATAATAAAATAACAAGCCTTGTTCAAGGATCTCCTTTATAATAAACTCTATATGTGATGTTTTTTCAAATTAATGATATTTCACTAGTCTTTTTTGTTATCGGCTTTTTCCGTTAGCCAATCAAGCCTTAGATAATGTCAGGTAAATATATCAATAAAAATTTTTGAAAAACGAGTAATAACGATAAGATGAGAAAAATTAACCTTATATGTACATAACTCTGGAACTTTTATTACCTTTTGAATCTTTTACTGGTCAAATCAGGAGTGCACCATTATGCAAAAAAAAAAAAAAAAAAAAAAAATTTGAAAATAATATACATATGTAATAAATAAATCTTGAGTAACGAAATAATATGAAGCGAATTATTTTTAATGTTAGTGCGATTTCCAATCATTCAATCACTTATTTGATTAGACATCTATGATTAGATGACTTCGGTAATTATGAAAAATGCCGATTAATTCCAAAATTTGAAGAGTGTTAATTAACAAATGATATATATATATATATTGTATAACTCATAACTAGCCTTTGTCATTCGTGAAAAAAAAAAATTCCTAATACTTCATAATTTGATATTAATATTTATTCATCTTTAAACTAAAAGTTTATTAGTATAATCAATTTTCAGTGTGCCAGGTTGGTGGCGCAGTAAGTCACACAGAAAATCACGAGACCCAACATTTAAATCACGGTTAAAAATGCCGAAACAATAAGAAAAATAAGATAATTTAATGATACGCGAAATACGCAAAGATATATTTATTATTAATAGAAGCAAAGGATTTTTAATACTAAAGTAATTTTATTCCATTTTTCAACTGTTAGATTTTACTGAAGACATGCACGTTATATCTAACATGTTATTACACCATAATCTATATTACTGTAATTAAATCACTCCATGTATTTATTATACTACAAGATAGTTTTCTTTTTTGTCTGATATATAATACGTATGTATGTCTTAGTTCGGGTAAAATATTGCTTAGCCTGTTTAATAAATATATAAAGTTTTATATTAGTATAATGCTTACAGTTTAACAATTTATAAATCTATTGTTTTGGCTTCATAATTTTAATATAGTAGAAACTCAATAAACACTGCCAATAACCAAACGACCTACCTTTGTTCTTATGAAAACTTCCTAGGGAAAGCGATTGAAAACAATTAGAAAAGATTTTCTGCTAGAAACACTCAAAATGAAGAAATTTTACTTATTAATGAGGACACCTTAAGTTTAACTTATTATGGTTAAATAGATAGTGAAATTGCCGGTTTTTAGACTACAACCGTATATCAAATTTTCAATTATATATATAAATAGTTTGTGTAACAATTATTTTGGAATCTATCGGATATGAGTTTCTGCTATGCTAGGGTTAGCAAAAGTGATTTTTGCGCTACACAAAATTATGTGATTGACAGTAGTTTGATGTCACGTAGTAAACTTTTCAACTATCTGATGTGGTTTAAAAAATATATTATTTGCGATATATAAGCATACTGCATCCCGGGGGCTAGATTTAAATATTATGCAGGGGTGCAGGATCTAGATTTATCCATATTTTATTTATTTATTTTTTTTTGTTTCAACAGTAATCACTTTATTATATTTAAGTAGTTAAGATATATATAGTAGTATAGAAACCTAGTTTATATATTTCTATATATTCCAGGTCCCTTCAAATAAATAAATATATATATTTTTTAAAAAATTTGACAGCCATGTCACATGCCTGCTTTATTGATGAGGTACTATATTTCCTGAAGGAATTGTTCGAATTACATCATACCTTATGGCAAAAAATCTGAAATATGGCTCACCCGGTTTTCAATTGGATCTATGTATGACTTTTCAAAGATAAGTTCAATCTCCCCAGTTAGGTTCAGCTTACTTCACTTTAACTGACCTATCTCTAGATTACTGACCTGGTTTACTAGCCTTTTATTCTCTGCTTTTTACTTAACCTCATTTTTCTAGCCTGATATAAAAAAAAATGAACAAAGAAAAAAAAAAAAAAAAAAAAAACAAATATGAAATAAAAGGAAAACTAAAAAAAGAAGAAAGTCTAAACTAAACAAAACTAAAAAAACAAACATAGTAAAAAGAAAACAAGAAGAAAAAGGCTGAAAAAAAGACAGCTATAATGACACTATTATTGCCTGTATTAGGCTATAAAAATTATATAATGTTGTATAGAAAAAAAATCCAATCTAACACTATATATACTAAAAGAAGTGGAAAGAAAAAAAAACGTCTAATATTAAGAAATTTCTATATGTGATCTCTCCAATCCCCTATACTGTAAATAGTACTGCCATCATTGTTTATTTGGCAAAGCAGAATCCAAATAAGCTCATGGGAGGTTCCATTTCAGTAGATGCATTCTAATTTAGAAGGAGTAAACACTGCCGATCTTTTGGAGAGAGTACGCTGATTTTCCTACTTTTTGGCCAAAATTTTTAAAAAAATTCCAAAACTGCAAGAATATGTTCATAAGTATATGGTTGTAAGCGAGTACTTTTAAAATTTCTAAAGAGTGTGTTGAATCACAAGAACTTTGTTGTTTTTTCTGTGTTCTTCTTTGAAGTAACAGCTAGCTTGCTTCGTTGACAAAAATAAGCAAGTTTACTGCCGCACTTCACCAAGATTTTTTATACAAGGGCACTACCTGCCAGTTATATTGTATAATAATGCTCCTGGCTTGTATGCCAAATGTCTACTTTAGAGGAGTCCCTTAGAAAAGCAGTTGACCTCTAGACAAACCACAAGAAGGCCACATCTCTCTAATAAAAGTTTCGTTTTTTGTTTGTTGAATTTTAGGTACGAATGATCATCAGGAAGAGTTTACTATATTTATGGGTAAATATTTTGTTTAAATATTATAAAATTAATAAATATACTATTAATTTTATTTATTAATTTATAGTATTAGTTTTTGCATGAGCTTTTACCAATATTCAATCAGCTAATGCATATCAGTATTTATTTGAAGATTTATTTATTGTTGTTAAAAATAATATATGATGCATGTAGTCTAGAACCAACATCACATGACCTTTTATAACTATGTAAAATAAAAATGACTATAACCAATCATATCAATATTATAATAGAAAAACTTTTTCTGTAAATTGATTATTTATACTTTATATTATATTTTTACAGAAAAAATTTTTTACTTTATTTATTAAAACTTAAGATATTAGCCAAACTATTCCATATACCTTAAGATTTTGGCTATCAATATAAAATTTTTTAAAAATTTTTATTATGCTAAAATTTAATTGGCTAATTTTATATATAGTACAAATTTTTTATTATAAAAAGGTTTAAAATTTTGGCCACTTTTGGTCATGTGATGTTGGTTCTAGGCTACATGCACTATACAAAAAAGTTTTAAATTTCAGCATATTTACAGAAGTAGATTAGGGTGCTTAATTGCTAATAAATATCAAAGACAAGCACTTGGTAAATTATATAATATTTTATTTTATATTTATAAATTTATAAATAAAAAATGAGAAAATCTAAATAGTGCCCATGCACTTTGTGTCTCTAGCAAAAATTTAGCCTATAATAAAAATTAAAATTAGTTTAAAATTAGTAAAATTGTATAAAATTGTGAGAGGAACATTTTTGCTTAGTTATATAACAGAGGTTACTCTAGTAAAATTTTGAGATATTAGCAATTTTATGATTTAGGTTAGAGTTAGATTAGAGTTAGGTTAGAGTTAAGTTAGAGTTAGATAGAGTTAGGATAAGATTAGAATTTAAATTTAAAATAGAGTAAAATTGTGAAAGAAACATTTTTACTTAGTTACAAAACAGGAGTTACTCTAGTAAAATTTTGAAATATTAGCGATTTTATGATAAGGGGCATAGACTAGTCCAGTCTATAAAAAATAATTAATTTAAATTTTATTTAAAAAAGGCCTTGGTTAATATCTTCATTCAAAATATAATTATTTATCAGCTGAGAAACATTTACAACATATATATAAATTATGTCAAATACATTTTAATTAGTAAGTTAATTAACTAATATAATTATTAATAGTTTATATTATTTACTAAAATATAAATTATTTATTTTATTTTAAGTAATATTCAAAATAAATCTATTTCTAATGAAGTAAAAACATTAATTTATTCAATACCAATATTAAAAACTTATACACAAGTATTTGAAACCTTTAATAAAATTAAAGAATCTAGTAAATTAGAAGTTATAGATATTTGATTTAAAATTTAAAATTATAGTATTATATATAAATATTTTATATTAAATTATTATCAAATTATGTATATTTATAGATTGGGTTTTAGATAAGTCTAAACCATGAAAATTAGCTGGACTTTCTTTAGCATTTACCAAAATGAATACTGATACTTGAAACCAAACACCAAATAACACTAATGAAAATGAATCAGCACATGCTAATATTAATCTAGATAGCCAATCTTTATCTCTTTTAGCAGCAATCTATCGGTTTGTATTATAATTTTAATATTTATTTAAAAAATTATATAAAATATATTAATACTAATAAAATATAGTGGAAGTGATTTTGATCAACAGCAATAGCATGCAGCAAAAACATATGAACAATATAATGTAAAGGATTCTTATAGACAAATCGGAATTGGCACGCTTAACACATAATGCAAAAAAAGCCGTAAGTTTAATTTTTTTAAAATTCAATATTAAATTAATATATACATATCTATAGAGTTCCTATCCATTATCTGTTTATCTATTTATCTATTGGATATCCAGATTTGAAGTTATTCGGATATCCGTTTTACTATTGATATCCGGATAATTATCCGAATATTTGTCGGATTATCCAGATAAATGGATATCCAGATAATTCAGATATGGATAAATGGATGACGGATTTATCCGGACTGGACCTCTACATATTTATAAGAAAAGCGAAAAAAAAAAAGATAAAGAAACTATATCTAAATCTGAACCACAAAAGAAGCGTAAAAATCAAACACTAAATAAGAATAATAGTGGCAGTAATTTAGTTTGTACATCTACTGAATTATCTGTCACTATTCCTACGGCACAAGAACAACAAAGTTATGTTGAATGGGAAGACAAAAAACTCCAAATGCAGCAAAAAAATTTGGAATTACTTAAGGACGAAGTTGCTCTTCGGGAAAATTAAACAGTTTAAAGAAATTAAATAGTTAAATTTTAATTTTTAATATTCAATGTAAAATTATGTTATTTTTATTAATAAATAATATTTGCACAATGTTGTTGCGCTACTATTGCTATATAAGTTACAAGTTATTAATTCTTTTTTTTTTGATTATATATTATAATAATTGGTTATTATATCGTTCGGCTATATTAATTTTTGTATTCGGTAATATATGAGTGCCACAAAAAGAAAATCTGTCAAGATTTTAAATTAATTGTTTACCGGACTTAATCTATCTAATATGTAAGAAATTATGTCCGGTAAATTATAAACTTGAAACCCCGATAACATATTTTCTATTGGTGACACCCGCACAATGTATTGTATTATACGAATATTTAAACAAACCATATAATATTTCATATTTCATACTATACAGTACATATTAAGTTTCGTACTGTACTAAATCTCTATACCCCGCACTAAAATATATAGGATGAGTGTCAGTATAATAATAGGATAAATTATTAACATAATACATAAAATGTATTTTAACACCAAGCTTAGGTATAATGTTTAATGAACAATGACGACATAATACAATGCTAACTATGGTTTGTCTTAGTAACATTAAATGTCTTAGCGGCATTACTATTATACATTATTATACGTATATATTATTATTTTATACGTATCAACGACACCATCTACAGCAGGGCTAAAACGACATATAGTAAATGCCGGACATCCAAAATATCGTTTTTGATCTATCTAAATTAAAAGTAATATAACAAAAAGAATACCATTAATAACTAATAGAATTTCTTATTTTACTATTGTTCTTTGATTGCATCAAGAATGACACTTTGGATGTCCGGCATTTACTATATGTCGTTTCTACAGTAACTCATGCAACAGGTTCCAGTAGTAAACTTTTTTTAATGTTATATTGCAAACAAATTTATTATTTGCATTAAACAGAAGTTACCAAAATTTGAATATTAATTTGAATATTGAAGGATTAATTATAATTAATGAAAGTACATAACGTAAGTATCATAATCTAATTATAAGTTTTAAACGCATTAAGAAACAATTTAAATAAAATAATAAATGTTTTACGGTTATTTTTCAATGCATATAATCATTTTTTTCCACCAGCAACACCACCAGTAAAATACCTAAGTTTTGTCTTAAATCTCTGTGCAACCATACCAGTACCACGACTTTCGAGCAGAGGTGATTTAGAACAAACTTCTTTCCATTTTCCTTGCATAACTTCGCTTACAGCCTTAAATAAGGCCTCATCTTCTTCTTGAGTCCAATTAGAACGTGGGCGTCTAGCTCCATTGGTGTCGGTAGAATCTGTATTAACTGACGAAAAAGCAGGTGGAGGCGAATCATCAACATTAAAAGTTCGTTGACGCTTTTTGGAAGGCGATGGCTTAGACTTTGATTAGAATATAAATTTACATATCGATAAATAAATATAACTGAAACAAAACATGTTGAGCTTTCACTAATTTAGGTCATTAATAACAAAATTACCTCTTCGGACATTCTTGTGATCAAAGAAAAAAGTGCAAAAAAAGGTTCTGAATAAAAAATATCAAATAAAACCTTTTTTATAAATATGCACAAAAGAAATTATAATCTTCACATATACGTAAGAAATATGATGTCTTTATTAACGATATTTTATGCTGAGTATACACATATATAATGTTTATGATGCAATTGCATAAACATGACCGCGAAATTTGGATAAACTAATCGTGTGAGTTTAGATTTTCCTTATAGTTTGATTAAGTTTGATTAATGAAAGGAACATTCATTAATGAGTATTTATTGTTTAATCCTCAAATTCGGTTTTGTAGAAGGTAACTATATAAAAAATATTCTGTTTGAAGATTAGTGCTTTTGTACGTGGCTTAGATTAATGTATCATATTGCAATTATTGAAAAAAATCTTTGTGTCAGATTTTAAAAGTTCTCAATAATAATAGCAATAATATAATTCCTAAATTTGATGTAAAGTCGAATTTATAGCCATAGCAGAAGAATTTTATATATAAGAGCCTATATGCCAAGGTCCAAATCTATAAGTAAATAATTAAATTTTTATAAACTAAGATGGTCAATTCATATCAAATCTTGTGCTTTTATATTGTTATTATTGCAGTTTATGCAGGCCATTATGCTGCAATGCCTTTGGATTTTCATAATTATGATAAGATCAACTTTTATATCAATAACAAAAGAGACTCTATCGTTTCTACTAAAGATTTAATTTTTAGATGCGTTAAAGATGATCGAACTTCATGTGTCTCCGCGATCATGCCTAACAAACGTAATATGATATATAATTTATCTTTTAGAAATCTATCTCAGAACAAAAATGAGGCCACTCAATTTCCTCAGAATAAAAGCGAAACAGCTCCACCTCCATCTCAGAATAAAAACGAAACAGCTCCACCTCCATCTCAGAATAAAAACGAAACAACTCAACTTCCATCTCAGAATAAAAATGAAACAACTCAAAATCCATCTCAGAATAAAAATGAAACAACTCAAAATCCTCCTCAGAATAAAAACGAAACAATTCAACTTCCACCTCAGAATAAAAACGAAACAACTCATCAAAATAAAAATAAAACAGCTCAAAATCCTCTTCAGAATAAAAATCAAAATCCGTCTCAGAATAAAAACGAAACAACTCAACTTCCACCTCAGAATAAAAACGAAACAACTCATCCTCCACCTCAGAATAAAAACGAAACAACTCAAAATCCACCTCAGAATAAAAATAAAACAGCTCAAAATCCACCTCAGAATAAAAACAAAACAACTCAACTTCCACCTCAGAATAAAAACGAAACAACTCAAAATTCACCCCAGAATAAAAACGAAACTCAACTTCCACCTCAAAATAAAACAGTTCCGCCCCCACCTCAGAATCAAAACGGAACAACCCAAAATCCGCCCAAAAATAAGAACAAATCCCAACTTTCACCTCAGAATAAAAACAAAACAGCCTCATCTCCACCTCAAAATAGAAACGAAACCAAACTTCCACCTCAGAATAAAAACAAAACAACTCAACTTCCACCTCAGAATAAAAACGAAACAACTCAAAATTCACCCCAGA